AGTGGATTTCCATGACACCTTCAGTCCAGTGGTTAAAGCGGCTACCGTTCGATTAATTCTATCCTTGGCTGTCTCTAGGCAATGGCATCTCCGGCAGGTGGATGTAAGTAATGCTTTTCTTCATGGCTTTCTAAATGAAGAAGTTTATATGCAACAACCACCGGGGTTTGAGTATTCCACTAACCCTCGTTATGTTTGCAAACTTCATAAATCAATATATGGCCTCAAGCAATCCCCCAGAGCTTGGTTCGCTCGTTTAAGTGATAAGTTATATCAGTTGGGTTTTACTTCTTCCAAGGCAGACACCTCTTTGTTCATCTTTCATCATGGAGGTATTCTTATTTATATGCTTGGCTATGTCAATGACATTGTTATTACTGGTTCCTCCAAGTCCGCCATCGAAAAACTAGTCCAAGCTCTAGCGCGTTCCTTTCCTATTAAAGACTTGGCAGATTTAGTTACTTTCTTGGCCTTGAGGTAATTCAAAATTCAGGGGGAATCACACTTCTACAACACAAATATGCTATTGATTCACTACACCATGCTCATATGGAGAATTGTAAAAGTATCTCAACTCCAATGTCAGTAACAAATAAGTTGTCTCTCAATCATGGCAAGCCGCTACCTAAGGAAGATGTGTTCAAATATCGAAGCATGGTTGGAGGACTACAGTACCTCACTCTAACACGCCCTGATATTTCCTTTGCAGTTAACAAAGTATGTCAATTCTTGTCGAAACCCACTGATATCCATTGGGAAGCTGTCAAACGAATTTTAAGATATGTTAAGGGAACGGTGGATACTGGATTACGCTTCACACGTTCCACATCAACACTTTTAAGTGTATTTACTGATGCAGACTGGGCAGGATGTACAGATTATCGACGATCCACAGGTGGTTTTGCAATATTTCTTGGTCCAAACTTAATATCGTGGAGTTCTCGCAAGCAACCAACTGTGGCTCGATCCAGCACAGAAGCTGAGTACAAGGCACTTGCAAACGGTACTGCAGAAGCTACATGGATACAGACCTTATTAAAAGAATTGGGAGTACATCAGCCAATGCCTCCTGTATTGTGGTGTGACAATCTTGGAGCAACGTATCTAACAGCAAATCCTATATTTTATGCACGAACGAAGCATATAGAGGTGGATTTTCATTTTGTAAGGGAAAAGGTGGCCATGGGAGCACTTGATGTTAGATTCATCTCTTCTGGTGATCAATTAGCTGATAGACTCACAAAGCCGATGACCAAACAAATGTTACAGCATCTAAGACACAATCTAAACCTTGTATCGGTTAAAATTGAGGGGGGAATGTAAACGGATAACTTAGATAGCTTAGAGATAGGATTATTAATCAAATGTTTTTGTAACTATATGATCCATGTATTTAGGATCTCATTCCTATCTCTGTAACTTCACTGTATATAAATACACTCAGATACCCTATTGGGTCTTCACGGCTAATACTTTTCTTGACTGTAGGTTGGTGAAGTGGTAGCTTTTGGGGGATAGTAGGTTAAACTTTAGATGTATTAGGTTTATATGACCACCAGATTGTTCTTTTGTGTACCATGCATGAAAGTTGAGGCTAATATTTATATAACATATAGGATTTTGGAATCCATCTTTTGTAAAGTTAGTGTATCAATTGTATCAATGTTTTGTAATCTTATGGTACGGGGTTTACAAACATTGTTGTCTTGTGGTCTACATGTTTATAAGAAACGAACTAGTGCATTAAAATAGGTTCCCAAAAGTACAAAAGTTACATTAAGTTTTAAATTTAAAATAGACAAAAAGATTAGAATATAGTACTAAAGTGTTATTACAAAAGAGGATTGCTTCTCATGCAATATAAAAAACAACACATTCACATGCGGAACCCTACTTTAACTTGACATGCTTGTTTGATGACTTTCTTTCATCATCTTTCCTAATTACTTTTTTTTTGGCAAGTTTAGTCTTCAAAATCCTCTCAGAAATCCTTTCATGATTTATAATTAACATTTCTATTAATAAATTACAATGCAACCACTGAATGAAAAAATCTATACCCATTTAGCTGCCATATTCTACATGAACATACTATTTTCTCCAGATCAACCTCATAAGCTTCCCTCATACCTTATCTCAAATTGGTTTAACTGTTCAATCTTAAACTGGTTAAGTTTATGTATTATAGTAGGAGAAACATCACTTGCCCAAGCTTTATATTTCATGGTGAACATTTTCTCCATGATATATATCCTTAATTCTTCAAACATGGTAATTATGGATTTTTTCTATGTAATACTCCATTTTTGTCTTATAGAATAAACGACCAGTTATGTAAATAGACATTTTTGATAGAGGACTATTTAGGATAAATAATCTTGAGGAAATTCGTAGTAATCGCAAAACCGAGAGTGTGCATATATAGAACGCCTAAATCTGACTTCGTAGGAGAAAGTTATGATTTTTAGAAGTTTCAGCATAGCAGCGTACGACACAGAAACCGAAATTAAGATTGGTTGATTGTTAGGAATAACAATCTAAACGAGAGTTGAAGATCTCGTCAATACATATTCGTCGATATAAAGACAGTCGAGAACGAATATGGTATGAGAGAGTTATGATTTTTATACAGACTTTAACAATCTAAGCCTACAAAAATATAAATTAAAAAATAAAGTGAGAATTAGCCGATAGAGTCTAAATGAAAGTTACAGATCTCGTCGGTAGCTACGCACTTCTAGAAAGTGGCAATGCGGACCACAGAGAAGCTGACACGTGGCACAGAACAATTGGGGAGACGTCGCCTTAAGTGTGCGACACGCACCTTGAAAATTCCACAACCCTTCCAGACCTTCTGTATGGAAAATTCCACCCTTTAGTCTTGGATTTCTTTAGAACCTAGGAAATCTTTAGCGAAGCCCTGCGACATTAGGCAGCCGGAGAATTAGAAGTGTTCGGGTCAAAGTTCTGCCCGCGACTTTTCTAGTTTTTGCTAGAAACTCTCTGTTAATACTTGTTAGACACATTACCTGCCAGTTGGATCGCCAGTAGGATCACCCAGATAGTTGTCAATCATTTGAGTAACTGTCCAAGTGACTTATCTCACTATGCCATATAGTACAATATATCCATGTGTTTTAGGATAAAGAGCTAGTAAAGTAAGAACTAACAGTATAATATATATATATATATATATATATATATATATATATATATATATATATATATATATATATGTGTGTGTGTGTGTGTGTGTGTTTAAGTAGAGTAGAAAGTATAAATGTGCCTGTACTAGTAGAATCTAAAGTGCAACTCTATGTGAGCAATTGTTGTGATATTAGACTTAGATAGGGGATGATAGTGGAACGGATAACGAGGCCGGGAGCCTATAGTCCTATGTAGATTTAGTTAGGGGATGATGGTGGAACGGTTAAAGAGCTTGGGAGCCTATAGGCCCGCACAAATTTAGTTAGGGGATGATGGTGGAATGGTTAAAGAGGTCGGGAGCCCATAAGCCTGCGTAGTCTAAGATACACATTTTATTGGCAGATCGTGAGCTATTGTTTGTATGCATGTATATATATTATGGTATATGATATTTTGGGGAACTCACTAAGTCTCGTGCTTACCCAGTTGATTATAAATGTTTTTCGGGTACTTCATTGATTCGTGAGAAGGGCGAGGTTCGATTATACACCCGCGCATTTGCAACATGTTTCCACAAAATGTAATTATACTCTGATATATTTGAATAAATAAAAATGAAAATTTTGGGTTGAAAATGGGGACGTTACATTCTAGCATCAACTACCACATCATTAGGAATTTCACATGCCCATTCTCAACTGCTTCACAATATTTCCTAATATGACAGTAAGCTCTTGACTATGTTTTTTGATCCTTTTATATCAAGTACTTATGAGTTGCTGGACTGAGTAATTTTAATTCTTTCATTATTGATTTGAAGGTTTGTTAGTACTTGTATTGCATGTTATCCAGAATAAATTATCGAAAGGTGCTCCACCAAACATTTTCTTGAAATCTGAACAAATATGCCTAGTATATTGTCTATGCTCAACAAGGGGTAACAATTTCTTCATAGCCTCTATAAGTTCATGTCATAGAAACATAATGAGTAAGTAAACTGAAAAAGTGTATATCATAGTGTATGAATAAGATTACTACCTTATGTTGGCTGGCATTAATGTAAATCTTGCTCCCAAACCTAGATTAAGATCATCAATTGGTAAATTAAGCAACTACTTCCATGTTTCCTTAATTTCTACACAAACAATTTCCTAAGAAATTAGGAATATTTGATTACTTGCATCTTTTCCTATTGTACAAAGTAACTCCCAGAGCATATTCCTTTCAAGAAACAACCATCTAATCATACAACTCTTCTATAACCATGTAACCATACTTTTCTTAAATCAGCAAAGAAACATAGAACTTGCTAAAGTAATTTGCCCTATTTGGCATTGGTAATAAATATATTTTTACAATTGATTTTGGATTTGATATTCTTATCTCCTCACCATAGTACTACAATTTAGCATAGTGCTCGGTTAGAGTATCTTCAATGATGTTCATAGCATGTTTTTTTATCCCTTATATATTGACTTAAACTAAAACCAATTTCAAAATTTTTTAATCACCTCCAGTTTGAGTTGTCCAATACTTAGCTTTTGTTTATGCAAAATCTCCTTAGTGTAGTGGCCTCCAATCCATGAATATTTGCAATTGAACGAAGTTTGTAGTTTCTAGCACACTGATGCTCACTCTTCAATGACTTAATTTGAAATGAGTGTTCTTGACCCATCCATGAAGCCCAAAGTCTAAAGTTGCATTCCCCTTCACAACACTTCACCAATAACATTTTACTAATCATTCTTTTCAAAACATAATTGGTAACTATTGGCTAAAACATAGTTACACAACATGTGCTTGTGTTGTTTTAGGCCCTCAAATTGCATCTTTAAAATAAGAGTTTGCTTCTTCTAAGGTATGTCCTCATTGAAAGTGGAATGGACAACACCACCTTCATCATTTCCTTTCTCATTGTGGACTAGGTTTTCATCATCATTCCCTTCAACATTGTCCACTTTAGGACACAACTTACTCAAGAATTGATATTCACTTAATGTATTGTTCATAATAATGGATTCAACCAGAATTGCATCATCCAATAAGCCATGGTTTTCACCCTTTTCTATATTGTGGCATTGTGGGTTGTTTCAGTAGGTTGTTTTTCGCCACGTTGTATTAATATACCATGTTCATTATGACTAACACCTCCGTTATCTGAATCCAAAAAATCATCTAAACAATCCCTAATATGATCAATGCATAGGTATATTGCAAGGTATTCATAAGTTGTATCATTAAAATAAGCATAATCCATATCAGTTTCTATGTAACTAATACCAGAGGATAAATGACGGTTTGCATAATACAACTTCTCACACCTTTCTCCGGTAAAACATTCTATAAAGGGTGACACATTCATCAATGTCCACACCAGCAAAGTCTGATCAGTAAAATAGTGATCATCACCACCAACATAAGCACCGTGTCAGACAAAAATACCATTGAAGTTCAATTCAACTATCAAATAAATCGACATGCAATGTCAAAAAGCAAATTTTAAGGTTCGAAATCACTCACAGGCGATACGATCGTGAAAATCCTAAGTTGTTTACTCTTTCTCTTCTTTAAGGCACCGAAAGAAGACGTTGCTTAATAAATAAAAACGATTTTATAAATATTTAGGTTAGTATTATTCAACATTAGATGTGTGTATTTCCACACAGATTTTATTCAATCAAGAGAATATGGGAGGTAATGGTCACGTCACCTTCTTAACCTGGTGACTACTTCATTTTGAAGAAAAGGGTGTAAATTACATAATGTTTGTGAGTTAGTTGGTTCATAAGGCACCGAAATCAGACTAAGGACCTTTTAAAACAAAATGAAAAAACATTGTTCGGTTATAATGACAATAACACTTAATAAAACCTCTAAAAATGGCTATTATAACTTCATTTTTTAATAAATGTGTTCTCAAATATATATAAAAAAAAATATGATGAATCATGAGAGTGTTATAAATCATCTTACGTTTAAAATGGCTTATAATAATTGACGTTAGACAAATCAATAAATCCATATGAAATTAAGTGTATTTACATTGTTTTGCTTTTATTTGTCTCCTCTCCTTGTGATACGTGACTTGTAATAGAAAAAAATATATATATCAAATTAATCTTTCTTTATCGTGCATGCTTATGATGAATAATTCTCAAATTTTACACCTCAAATGAAAACTCATCAAACTATCATAATCAAGTTCAGACTTAGCCTAACACGACGAGTAAATGACAAATTTACCCTTCAAAACCGACATTCATCTACCTTACTCTTGTGCAGCTGAAATGCCGGATTTACCCATGCTCCACAGTTACATTGCATACCCGCCCAATTAAACGAACCCAAACGAGCATTACAACCAATGCACTGAAGCTTCTGTTCCACATTACCTTCTTCAACTGTCAAATAACACAATTACAGTGTCACAAAAATAGAGAATATTTGATTTGTTTGAAAAGGGTAGTATCGTAATTTTACCTGCTTGCATCCATTTCATAGGCTCTACAAACATAGATGAACATTCCGGAAGTTCATTTGTTGTATCACCTGTTCTCTTCTTCCATTTAAAGCATTTCTGTCCATTTCCACGCTCATGAGGAATTATATTATCCTCTGAAGCAACAATCCTTCGACATTTCTTGCATCGGAAAATTGTTTGATTTTTTTCTTTGGATTCCATGTCAGTCTGATTAGTAGTTTCTTCCATTCTTGATGGCATTACATGCAAAATATAGCAACATACTTTCAATTATTTGAGAAACCCTAATTCATCACTACAAACCCTAATTCAATCTAAAAGGCACTCTATCGTAAACACTATAGCTTAATCGCTATATTATACCTCCTCACTTTAATTTGGCTGCTCTGTTTGCCGATTTTTAGGGTTCTTCCGATTCAGAAAAACCCAATTCTATTTAGGACTCCACAGTGAACACTATGAGTTTACAAGATACTATATGTATGAGCACGAAGTCGTGCTAAAAACATTACTGTAATCGTTATTTTTGAAAATGAGGGTGAAGAAATCGTAACTCTAATCGAATTCGGTGCTCTGTTTTTCCAAAATTAGGGTTTTCTACAGCAAAACTATAAACTCTATCAAGAAATTATACGTATGAACACCAATTCGTGCTCAGAACATTAATACATGGTCGAGTATGAGGATTATGTTAAAAAAATAAGGATGAAAATACGTACCTCTAATCGAATTCGTTCCACCGTTTTCAGATTTTACTAGAATTGTATTTGGGATTAAAGCAAGATTTCAGAAGGAATGAAGTTCCCCAGTTCAAAAGGCGAATGTTTAGAATCTAAACGACCATGTCCTCACAACGGACGACGTCGTTACGTGTATGCTGATTTCTACTTTCGCCCCCCTTACTTTATATATTTCTCCAATTGTTCCCTCTATTATTGGTGTTTGTTTTTTTCGTTTTTTTTTTATTTTTTTATTTTTTAATGTTTTCATTATAAAATACAAACATTTTCATTTTGAATACCACACTTCGATATGGTTTTATTTTTTTCAGGTTGTCAAATATTTAAAAAAAAATTGAATCATGCAACGAAAAAATAGACACAAAAACTAAAAAAATTATTGGAAAAACCATAAGAAATAATATTACTCTTAATCACCACCTTTATGACATAAACGAGAGGAAACCTTGATAACCTTTTTATATAATAACTACATAGGATAAATGGAGACAAAAACTAAAAAAATGAGGATATGACTTTGTTTCGATATGCATGTCATGCATCAGAAAAGACATCTAGATTTTTGTTTTTATGTAGAATTATTGGAAAAACCATAAGAAATAATATTACTCTTAATCACCATCTATATTAATCAATCATGTCGTTTATTAATTGCTTTCTTTGAATAAATAAATAAGTAAACGTAGGAAAATTTGGTACTCTCAACTCTCAAGTAATTAAGAAGCCTTGACTTGCACGAATTGTCTGACCCAAACATACTCTGTCGCAAGTCGCTGCCCTACAAAAGTATAGTTGGTTAAATATAATACAAAATTAATTATTACGATCTAAAATAATACTAGTAGTAACAAGTTGTGTATTATCTGAAAAAAAAAAATTACAATTTAAATCACTAAAATAACAAGATTTAGAGAAGCATCATGTGATGTTGCATATTTACATACATATATACATACATACATACATACATAAACTATAACCAATTTTCTTATATACGAAAGATCGAATACGTTTAACGGACACAAGATACAAGAGCCATGTCTAGATTAGGTTAGATAGTGGGAGCTCTTTGTGATGTAATTTTTGAAAACGATGTAATTCTAAAGCAGACAAATAAACTTGTTTGTACGTATATTTGTGACTGGTCATGGTTTTCAAGGATCTTGAAAACAAGCATGATGCATTTGACAACGAGTTGAAAGGGAATGAATTGTAGTATTCTTGATTGTGTAAATACTTGCAAGATTCCAACTGATTCCAAGTTAAAATTCTGGAATCATTAAATTAATAGAAAGATTCATCAAAAGTACAAGTGTATAACTACGTGAGCAATTGGCCCCATGAAAAGGAAATAGAGTGTATCTTCGTCTTTTGGATGTTAATCATGTTTGTCATAAATAGTGTTTGTCATAAATAGTGTTTGAAAATATTTTCTCTCCTATAAGGTAGAATGTTCAAGACTCATGGTGGCCATAACCACACTTTTATAAAATACACGGAAAAATGACAACCAACTATGTAAATAGTGACCGTGAATTCACGGCCTTCGGTTCCCAAAACACAACCTTTAAAAAACAGTATGTAATACATGTATTATCCTTCAACGGTAAGAAGATGGGACCGTGAATAGACCGCGGATAATCGGCAATAGGTGTTTGTTGAGATACATGACATCACAAAAAGTAAGTGCCACATTTTATACTAGAATGTTTGTATTTAAAAAAAAAAAAAAAAAAACAATAACTAGTGTTCATAATGTGTTTACTTTTATAATGAAGCTGATAAATTTATGATTCATTCGGCGAGAGTTTATTAAGTCTGTATTTTTTTATCCAAGCGAAAAAACATTGTTCGTATTGTAAATTGGTTTAAAATTAACAAGCTCGCAAATGGTTAAAATATATATATTTGGTCACATAAATTAGATATTTCTTCTCAACCCAATAATCATAAGTACAAATGCCATAATTGGTGTTCAGAAGAAACAATATTGTTGAGAACCATTTTCGTATGGGTTGTGATCATTAGAGTTTGTGTTGAACAACCTTGTACTACAACAATTTGGTATGTCATCTCCAACACCACAATCTTTAGAATATGAATTGGTATAGAGGCCAGGAAACATAATATATATAGCACTGCTTGATGATAGAAAAGGCTCATAGCCTTGCAAATCCTCTTTGAGCTCCAATATCATGTAGGAAACTATGAGATCAACAATCTAATGATGCTCATCAAACTTCTCACACCATACAAGATGCCAATAATCAAGTGTTCTATCAGGAGGCGGTGTATGAAGTGGTGTATCTCCCGAAAAATCAACCTATTTTCTTAAATGAGAATGTTAAATCTTAATAAATCATTAACATAAACTTTTATATATTCATAATATCAAAGCCGTTTCAAAATCAAACATATCTCATCAAAGGTCATCATACTAAACCATCGTATCGTGTGGAAATATAAGTATCGCTTTGGAAATCAACATATGATAAAATAAAATATTGGGTAAATGGCATGCCCCTTGAAATGTCCAGATGTCGCAATCATGTCGACTCCTCCTCCTTTGAGGCACCTGAAGGTCCGGTTATAAAATATTAAGTAGCAACTGTAAGCATAAGGCTTTGTGAGTAATCACAACACTCACCCATTATATAGATCATATGTAATACACATCATAGCACATAGGCATCAAATAAATCCCATATTACATATCATCATAACATATAACATATGTTAGTATAAACATATCTACTTACCGGAACAAGTAGATTCCCTCCAATAGGCTTTTCTCTAGTTTCACAGTCCACGAACACTTCTCTTTGAGAGGGTTTTAGTGACTTAACATCTCATCATGTCATTATACTTACCAATTCAACTAAATTTCCTCAGAGAGGCTTTTCTCCAATTGACTAGTCCACAACCACATCCCTCCGAGTGGCTTTTTTATGTTCTAACATCCTAGAATTACATCGTCCACATAATAAGAGAGTTTGTGAAAATTTACCTGAATATATGATAAGGTATAACCACACATGAGCTAGGTGGAACCAAGACTTCCTCGAACCACTAAGAAAAAGATCATTTTGCCCCTCAAATCATTGTCCTGGACCTAAATCCATCAAAGCTGACCAAAACTCAACTTGGTCAAAAAGTCAACGATCAACAACCAACAGTTAATGCGTTACGACTAACTAAAGGTCGCATTTGCGGCCACAATGCAACAAAATAATCATGAACCCTCCATCAACACTTGCATCGTAGTCTATCCTTCGCTGCATCATGGTTCTCAACACATAATCCTCTTTTCTCATTAAGCACATAATATCTTCATATCAAGGCTTAGATCTTCATATCTGATTCTTTCCATTGAATTAATGGATAAAGTTTCCAACTTTATCTATTCTAATGGCTATATTTAACCCAAACTATAACCCTAATTTGATTAAGCCCTTTAAACTCCATAATCTTGTGCATGGTTGCAAAATAGCACATGTATACACATTTTTCCTCTTTCTAAAGACCAAAAAGATGTCCATATGCAATCTAGTGTTCTGAAGTTGCTCCAACTCCTAGAACATAAAGTCAAAATGACCATAAGTGACCAAAAACCAAGGGAGATCCCGATCTATGTATAAACTTGAATAAAGCATCAAACTTTGAGACTTACAATACAACAGAAGTGACTAGAAAGTGGATTCTTTACTGGACAACAATCCTTCAAGCTTCCCTAACTTCTTTTCCTCTTCAAAAACCTCATAATCACCTCACAATCTGTCACAAGCACATAAGGGCTACGATTTCGTTTCAGAAGAAGGCGACTGAAGATTCCGAAAAACCCTAAATGTTAACATCATTCATTCATTATATATGGCTCAAAGCCCGATATCTAGGGTTTTGGTCCCTAGCGATTCGCGTCACGACATATAGACGTCACATCGCGACTTATTGTTATGGCTCGCATCTCGAACTATAGATTTTGCATCGTACTTGGCCAAAATCCCCAAATCTTAAACTTAAAATAAATCAACATGAAATTAACATATACCCACAAGATGGGTGTTACAAGTGGTTTCTCAGTGTAACTTGTTCTCATACTTGAGCTTTATTTTTGGAGGTATTACATCGGTCTATATATTCTTATTATTGGGCTTATTTTTTTTTAAGAAAAAACCGAAGTAAAAAGTTCATCTTTTTGGTATTGTCAATATGTAATCCTTTATAAATTTAATCAATTTATTGTTATAAAAAATTGGTAGGCTATGATAACAAATTGCAATCCTTAGATATTGATGGGACTTTAGATGTAACGCCTGGTTCCTGATATGCATTCAACTCAATTATTTATTCATTTTAAGAGAGGAACTCGACAAGTTGGTGGCCCTAACTCGTTGAGTAGAAGGCAGATTATGTGCGGGGTTTGAGCTATCTACTCGACGAGTCAAGAGCCCTCGACTCGGCGAGTAGATCGGCCAGAATGACACCCTAATTTCGGGGTTTTGCACCCTATTTAAGCTCCTTAACCCCCACCCCTTGGCCTCATTTACAGCCTCCTTGTCCCAAACCCTGATCCACGAAACCCTAGAGTTTTCTTTAAGTGTGTGAGCCATTTTGAGTGATCTTGTGTGCTTTTGAAGCTTGTGGAAGAAGAAGAAGATAAAGGGCTCAAGAGGGAAAGAGTAGATCCAGAAGCTACACTCCATTTGCTACATTTTCTGGTAATCAAGTTTCTATCTTGACCATTAGTTCATTAGATCTATTTATGTCCTCTTTATGTGGGTTTTTGGTCCAAGATTGGTGGATTTTGGGAATGGTCGACCCAAGAGGGTATTCTTCCAGATCTAGTACTTAAAGGGGTTGTTATGACATAAAGGTGCAAACTTTATGCCATTTGAGCCCCCATGCAAGCTTTAGAGAGTCATATTGGCCTTTTTAGCCCCAAAAGGCCATGCATGTAGGAAAGGTAGGAACATTACGTGTCCAAGTAGTGTTAGGGGTTTAGATCTGAGGTTGTAAGCTTGAGTTTAGTGTAAGGAAGGCTTAAGGACCAATTTCTAGGTCCCAAGGAATTAGGGTTTGAGCTAAACTCTTTAAGA